GTTTGTGAGATCCATGGTCGTCCAAGAGATTGTACCTGAATCATGAGAAGTCAGTGGGGGGGAGGGCATTTCAATTTGAATACTTGAATTGTTCTCCAAATTATGCCCTGCAGACATGATGGCTAGGGTGAGAGTCACAAGTGATAACAGTCAATTATACAAGAGAAAAGAACTGAAGAGAGAGACCTCCAGCAGAAAACAAAATAGCGGTTGAAAAGTGAAATAAAATAAGACAGTGTTCTCTCCAAAGTTAAGTAAGATATTTTCCAATTATCCCTTTAAAACATTTTCAGCAGTCAGATCAAAGGCAATGTGTTCAACATAACGGTACTTCTTCCAGTTATCTAACTGTTAACATTGATGTAACACAAGGCTCAGTCTTAAGACCCACCCTCTTCACAATCTACATGGGTAATGAAGGTCAGATTATGCCTGATGCATCCTTCCATTTCAAAGCTGACAATACAGTTGTTTACTGTCGAGCTAAAACAGTTGCTAAGGTTTTCCAGCTTTGGCAATCAGGTTTTGACATCATCCAGTCAGTTTTGTTCCATCTCAAACTTGTACTAAATGCAGACAAAACCAAAGGGATGTTGTTTTCAATCATGAAATCGGTTCCAGCAGTCGTTCTTTCTATTTTAAATTTGAACGGTGCCCCTATGGAGTTTGCCAATCCTTACAAATACTTGGGCATCTTGGTCGATTCACATCTTTTTTAAGACCAATGTTGAAAACTTGGTAAAGAAACTGAAAGTAAAACTGGGTTTCTTTTTCAAGAAATAGATCCGGTCTAACTCTGAATGCTAGGAAACGCCTTGTAACTGTGCTTTTCCTTCCCTCCATTGACTATGGTGACATTATTTACATGAATGCTTCTGAAAGCACCTTGCAGATGTTGGATGCTGTCTATCATGGTGCGCCAAGATTCATAACTGGTATCTTCGTCTCAGGGTTTAACACGCCTCCAGCATGTTGGATGCTGTCTATCACGGTGTACCAAGATTCATAACTGGTATCTTCGTCTCAGGGTTTAACACCCCTCCAGCTCTCGTCTAACCGGTAATTGGACCCCCCCCTAGACTTCTGAGTATTACCCAAAACAATACTATGGTCAGGCCCTCTTAGGCTGGGTTCGAGAAAGATTCGACCAGCCACTAACAACCTTCATCTGCAGGATACACCCCATTTCACCTCACAGCTCTTAGAGTCAAGTAGCAGTGACCCCAAAGTTTACCATAAGGTATCCTACATTATGACTGCTTTTCCTCTATTTGATGTTTTGCAATTGGTACAAGACCTGGTAATTTTCCTAGGCCAGGACAAGTTGGCCATATGGGGATGCTGTTCAAAAATCTAAATAAGTAACCGTTAAAAACCTCCCAAAATCTCAGAACCAAGCACACTTCATGAGTAAGTTCAGCAATGAGCATGCATCATTCAGATGCCATCAGGAAAATGAGTCCAACACTCTATGAGTTTCATGCTTTGTGTTTTTAATCATAAATTTGTGTAAGGTTACATTCGTAGCTTTCAAAAATCCAGCAGAAGTGCAAGCAAATGCGTTTAAAAAAAATGCCGTATAATGAATGAAATAAAAATCAAAAACGGGTGAAAATCCAAATTCCTCTAGGTGTGGATGCACCAATCTCTTATCTTATCAATCTCTAATCTCTTGTAATTGGCCCATGCCCTAACTGTGCTGTTACTAAGAAAAAAACATAAAATGCAACCTGTAATTTTTAAATCGGGTAAAATGGTTCAAAAAGGCTGGTTCCTACCGCATATCCCATGATTGGATTGGTTTTCCAGGAAAAAGGAGAATAATTCCTATAGCCTTTGTTGAAGACGGTCATCAAATGTAATTAATTCCAATCAGAGACTTGTTCAGAGTTATCTGGGGTCAGTCCTCTTGAAGGGTGATCATGTGCTGCTGAGCGGTTCTTCATTGCTTTAAGTTTCTATCTTTTGTTGGGGTTTTTTTTCAGTTCTTCTGCAGCCAAAATCTTCCCTCTTCAATCTTCAGAGCTGATTCAAGTCTCCAGAGCTTGACAACCGTGTTCCATCTGTGGTGATGAACTCGGTGGTGTTTAACACCCGTGGCTGTATTTATAAGAACTTTTTTCACACGGAGTGAAAGATTCCTTAATGCCTCCTATGCCTACCAAAGACAACAGAGATATTGGCATTCAAAAACTCCCCAACCAACTTAAAGAAGCATGTTGAGGTACTCAAAAAGCGTTCAATACAAAAACAACTGGACTTTATTTGTAACAGAAGACGTTTTGCTCCTCATCCAAGGAGCTTTCTCAATTCAATGAGCAGTGAGTGAGAGATTCAGGTTATAAGGCTGAGTGAGATAAGACACACACACATATGTAGATTTGACAAGTCACACCTCCACACCTTAACAGTAGGGGGCTTCTTAAAGTCTTTGTTACTCTAATTCACAGATGAGACCCCTCTGTTCCCATCAGGTGTGAAAACTGGCTGGGAATCAGTTTTAAAGTTGCATTATAGGTTTTTGAAAGTGGAAATCTGAGGCCTCCTCCTCTGTTAAGAGACAGCTTTTCTCTTTTAACATAAATTGCTTCCTTCACCCCCCTCTCAAACCATCTGTGTTCTTGGTCCAAAATGTGCTCATTTTGGTCCTCAAAAGAGTGTCCCTTCTCTGTGAGGTGGAGGTGAACAGCTGAATCTTGTCCTGAAGAGCTGGATCTCCTGTGTTGAGCCATGTGTCTGTGAAGAGGCTGTTTAGTTTCTCCAATGTAGAGGTCTGGACAGTCCTCGCTGCATTGGATCGCATACACTACACCACTCTGTTTGGAACCTTTTTGAAGGTTTACAGTCTCCACATTTGAACAAACTCCTCCTAGGGATTCCGCTCAATCGGTTTCAAACTTGGCCATTTGGTTCAAAAGGTATGGGGGACGAAAGGTTATCTAAACGGTTCGTTTCAGAGCATGCTGAAGGGGCAGGGTCAGGCCTCAAAGTTGGACATCTTGCCATGAAAAACGAAACACTAATAGCTCCTACAAGAAAACTGTCTGAGACATCAAACTTTCTGTGATTGATCCACATCAAAGTTGCAAGACTGAATGGTCAAATCATGGCATCACTTAAGCCACGCCCCCTGACAACAGGAAGTGTAAAGTTTTACGTTAATTGTCCCTATCTGACCCCTGTTACCTAATCAGCATGATAGTGTGTCCAGTGACCAAAGACATGTTGGTGTAACTTGCTTTCCAACACTGACAGTTTTGGGTAGAGCATGTGGGCGTCGCGATGTGGCAAAGTAAAACATAACGTTGTCGCAATACGTTTGGCTCTAAATTCCAGATTTGAACCGAGGTGCACCAAAATCAGTATGATCAATCATTATCCACCCCTTGAACAGGAATCCATGATAATTGGCCAATAGCCTCCACAGCGCCCCCTAGAATATTTTAAAACCTCAGCGCCAAGCCATTTTTGGACCGATAATTCTGAAACTCGGTGAACATCTGTATCTTCTCAGGACCTATGAAAAAGTCTCTTGGAGCCCTGGTCCAAAGCCAACAGGAAGTTGGTCATTTTGGGTCAAAAGGTCATTTTTGGGCGTTTTTAATTGCAAATTTTAACGAACTTATCCTAGGGATTTTGAAGGATTGCCTTCAAACTTGGTTGATATGCCCTTAACACATTGGGGAGTAAAAGTAATCAAAAGATTGCATTTTCGTATATGTTAAAGGGGCGTGGCCAGACCTGAAATGTGCGCGTCACGCCGTAAATTTCCAAACACTATAACTTTTCGCATTGAAAGACCGAAATACACCAAGCTTGGCAAGAGTCATCCCTGTTGGATGCCTGATGATCTTCTGTGGTCCAAAGAAGATGATGGTCCATCATCAACAGGAATGCATGTAAAGAGTGATGTGACATCAGAAGAGACCATTGTTGCATCAGTCTCCATGATGACATCCCTCACCTTATCCACAAAGTCCGTGGTGTTCTGTAAGTGGTGTTCTGAGCTGCCAACTAAAGGGATGAGTACAGATGCCAGATATTTGGAAACATTGTAAGTGACAGAGTTAATCATGCTAACAATTGGGTCTTAAAGGTACACCTTGTTTGTGGATTTTAGGTAAACCATACAGACTAGGTGTGGCCTCCCCTGGGTACAGTCTGTGGTACAGAATACGGTCAATAGCCTTGTCCTGCTCCTGCTCCCCTCCTGCTTTTGGTTGTCAGCAGCAAACTGGTTGACCCACTCTCTAAGAAGGTGCTATTTAAGAGACTGAGCTGAATACAGCACCTCAGACTGAGGAAGTCTTTCAGATGAAAGATGAAACGTATCTACATTTTTTTTGCTTTGTTTTGTTTTTTTGTTTTTTTGAATGTCCAGAGGACCAGATTGAACTTTTTTGGATTTTTCTACCTGGATTATTGAGCATGCATCACAATATCTTAGAATATCTTTACTCGACACACATGACAGTTTAGGTCAAAATACTATAATTTTAAAGTTCATAATTTCTTATCTGGCAACCTGACTGACATGGAAACTACAGCGTTGTTGTGTAAACCCACTTTAAAAATATATATATATATTTTTACCCCCAATAAACTTTTGAAAAAACACTACTTTTTCCAGAGGTTGTTCTCGTGTAAACGGGGTCTTATAGTAGGTAATCACTTTGACTTGGTCATTTTAAAAGTAGCTCGCATGCCGAAAAAGTCTGGGCACCCCTGGTTTAGAGGTTTCTCTCTATCACACCTGATTTGAATCAATGGCTGATTACACGCTTCTTCCATTATGTCATTCCTTTTATTGTTCTATGGCTCCATAATGTATTCTTCTGTTGTGCAGGTCCTGTTACTAAACAAATGATCACTTATTGAGCCACAACAACCACACTAACAACAACAAAAAAGGATTAAGCAAACATTTTTAAACTTGAACTTTAGAAAAGTTATGATTGTTTGAAGATAATAGATGGATGATTGTTTGAGTTTGCTCTTACCCAAGGAATAATTCTGTGTCGTTGATCCACTGGTTGATGAAGAGGGCAGTAATGGGTTGTGGATTGTGTGGGAAGTGCATGTTGTCCAGGGTTTGAATAAGCAGAGCTGGATTGTAGTAGAGAGCTGCAATGACCACCTGCAGACACATTGTTCTCAGTTCACTGGATTTCACCCCTCGCAACAAACATTCCAGCACGGCCTCCACAAACAGGGGGATGCACTGCAAATACACAACTCTATGTTAATGAAGTGGGTATAAAACTCAGTTGAAAAAGAAAGACAGAAAAACACATTAGAATCAGAATCAGAATGCCTTTATTGTCATTATATGCAGTACAATGAAATTAAGAGCCACTCCTTTTAAGAAAATGGATTAAGAAAAATAATAATGTTTTGTATTATTTGGTTAAAATTAATTGTCTTTGGTTCATGGTATGTGGGAAATATAAATGAAAAAAAAAAAAAAAAACAACACAATTCATTCCTCAGTTGAAGTATAATTCATGAGAATAAGATGCACTGTGACTGCTGATCTAGTGACCTATGATCGATTATTCTGGTCTTGCAGGTTAAAAGACAGAATGATGCAGTAAAATGGTAATACGTTTTAAATGCATTTTCTTTAATGTTACTTTTCTGACTACAATTATATATACGGTAGTCTTTAGAGAGTGGTACCTTTTCAAAGTTTATGTTTTGAGTGCTTATTTACTGATCATGTCTCGATTGGTTATGTCTGAATTAACGCAGGAAATGTGTTGCTTCTGCTTGTTCCTTATAACACAGGAAGTGACAGAAGTAACACTGTGTCTGTTGCTTTCACTATTCCCCTTTAGAATAGTCGACTCTGGCTGCCTCAGAGGAGTCGACGGAGGAGAAGGCGAACTCCAGAAACCATCTTATCACCATAAAACTGGTTGGCTCACAATGTGAGTAAGCCACTTGTGGTATTGAGTTTGTTGTGGCTTCTCAGACTGATGAAATCTTTTGGATGAAGGATGAAATGTTGCAACAAAAAAAGAAACAGTCCAGAAGACCTGACTTAACTTTGTTGGAATGCCCAATATATACAGGTCCTTATAAAAAAATTAGCATATTGTGATCAAGGTCATTATTTTCCATAATGTAATGATAAAAATGAAACTTTCATATATTTCAGATTCATTGCACACCAACTGAAATATTTCAGGTCTTTAATTGTTTTAATACTGATGATTATGGCATACAGCTCATGAAAACCCAAAATGCCTATCCCAAAAAATTAGCATATCATGAAAAGGTTCTCTAAACAAGCTATTAACCTAACCATCTGAATCAACGACGTAACTCTATAAACACCTGCAAAAGATTCCTGAGGCTTTTAAAAACTCCCAGCCTTGTTCATTACTCAAAACCGCAATCATGGGTAAGACTGCCGACCTGACTGTTGTCCAGAAGGCCATCATTGACACCCTCAAGCAAGAGGGTAAGACACAGAAAGAAATTGCTGAACAAATAGGCTGTTCCCAGAGAGCTGTATCAAGGCACCTCAGTGGGAAGTCTGTGGGAAGGGAAAAGTGTGGCAGAAAACGCTGCACAACGAGAAGAGGTGGCCGGACCCTGAGGAGGATTGTGGAGAAGGGCCGATTCCAGACCTTGGGGGACCTGCGGAAGCAGTGGACTGAGTCTGGAGTAGAAACAACCAGAGCCACCGTGCACAGGCGTGTGCAGGAAATGGGCTACAGGTGCCGCATTCCCCAGGTCAAGCCACTTTTGAACCAGAAACAGCGGCAGAAGCGCCTGACCTGGGCTACAGAGAAGCAGCACTGGACTGTTGCTCAGTGGTCCAAAGTACTTTTTTCGGATGAAAGCAAATTTTGCATGTCATTCGGAAATCAAGGTGTCAGAGTCTGGAGGAAGACTGGGGAGAAGGAAATGTCAAAATGCCAGAAGTCAAGTGTGAAGCACCCACAGTCAGTGATGGTCTGGGGTGCCATGTCAGCTGCTGGTGTTGGTCCACTGTGTTTTATCAAGGGCAGGGTCAATGCAGCTAGCTATCAGGAGATTTTGGAGCACTTCATGCTTCCAGCTACTGAAAAGCTTTATAGAGATGAAGATTTCATTTTTCAGCACGACCTGGCACCTGCTCACAAGTGCCAAAACCACTGGTAAATGGTTTACTGACCATGGTATTACTGCGCTCAATTGGCCTGCCAACTCTCCTGACCTGAACCCCATAGAGAACCTGTGGGATATTGTGAAGAGAAAGTTGAGAGACGCAAGACCCAACACTCTGGATGAGCTTAAGGCTGCTATTGAAGCATCCTGGGCCTCCATAACACCTCAGCAGTGCCACAGGCTGATTGCCTCTATGCCACGCCGCCTTGAAGCAGTCATTCATGCAAAAGGATTCCTGACCAAGTATTGAGTGCATAACTGAACATGATTATTTGAAGGATGGCGTTTTTTGTATTAAAAACACTTGGTGGGATGAAATATGCTAATTTTTTGGGACAGGCATTTTGGGTTTTCATGAGCTGTATGCCATAATCATCAGTATTAAAACAATTAAAGGCCTGAAATATTTCAGTTGGTGTGCAATGAATCTGAAATATATGAAAGTTTCATTTTTATCATTACATTATGGAAAATAATGACCTTCATCACAATATGCTAATTTTTTTAGAAGGACCTGTACAAGAAAATTGCTTTGTTGTTTAGAATTATGCAGATTTATTAAAATCCTGCCCAAATTCTGAAAGTATTTTTTTTCTTCTTTTAGCTGTTCACTTCTTCAGTGAACTAATTCACACAAAGACTCGGCGATTGTTTTTACACTGAATGCCCTTCCTGACACAACCTCAGACCATTGAGCTACCACAGTCCGCTATTGCCACTTTTCCATTAGTACCTTTAGTACCGGTACAGCATAGTTCTACTCGGCTTGGTATGGTCCACGTTTGGGGCTTTTGCACTGCTCCTACTCAGTCCCAACTCTACTCAGCCCTCCACGGAAAAATCACTATTCCACCAGTACTTTTTAGGTGATTCGAGGCTGATTAGGGACCTTTTTTTGTCCCTACTTCTCTGGTGGGACTGAGTGAGCTGAATCAGGACCGAAACATGAATGCAGGGCACTGATTGGTCAGGGGGAGGAGTCACTGGATCTCAGAAACTTTTCACCACTACACCATTCGCAATTTCTCGGAATGTGGAGCAGTGGCTTAATCTATTTTTAAGATTTTAAAAACAATAATGACAACGCTGTGTTTAATGCTGAAGTCCAGGCATTTTTTGTGTTTGGTGATTGACGACAAAATTCGAGCGAGCGGAGTCACCGTGGAGGATCATACTAGCTACCAACCCGTTGAAGCATGCGAGGCCGGACCCCGAGCCCCGGCCTCGCGTGCGCACAAAGACCGGATTTTGAGCCCTGGAAGACGGGAGGACCAGGAGTCCAGGACGGAGGGTAGAAACGTTTGTTTTTAAAACATGTATGAAAAAAAAGTTAGTTTTTTTTTTTATCAGTGAAGAATAAAAATAAATAAACTGTGCCTGCTTTAAGGTAAGATAAGATAGAACTTTACTAATCCCACAGAAAATTATTGTGCCAGAGTTTCAGTACAAAGGAACATATATGAGAATCACAAGATATAAAGACAACAGAGAATATAAAAAATGCCAACAAATATGGACTGATGCAACTTATAGGGTGGTGCGACGTGTACGGTGGAAAATGCGGTATTTGAGATCTTATTGTTCCATATTTTCCTAACAGAGCACTTCTGCACTCACAGACTGCAGGTTTACTTGCAGTTCCTAGAGTTTCCAAAAGCAGAATGGGAGGAAGATCTGACCGAAAGACTTCCTCAGTCTGAGGTGCTGTATTCAGCTCAGTCTTATAATACAGTACCTCAGACTGAGGAAGTCTTTCAGATGAAAGACTAAACATTTCTACAATTTTTTTGTTTAGTTTAGTTTTTTGGAATGTCCAGAGGACCAGATTTAACTTTTTTAGATGAAGTCATCAGATTTGATAAATGTAATGCCCTTGACACTCTTGGCCCCTTGGCTTCATAAAGCCACTCCACTGTCAGAAATCTGGGAGTTAATTTTGATAGTGCTTTTAAATTAGACAAACAGATAAATGTAGTTGTGAAATCCAGTTTCTTCAAACTAAGACTCATTGCCAAGGTGAAGTATTGTCTCCCTTTCAGAGACCTTGAAAAGGTGAGTCACACTTTTAGCTATTGTTTGAACTATTGTCATGCTTTGTATGTTGGTTTAGACAAATCATCTTTGCATCGCTTAGAAATAGTCCACAATGCAGCAAGTCGTCTTTTAACAGCAACTAAAAACATGAACTCATAACCCCTGTCCTGGCTTCTCTGCACTGGCTTCCTGTCCACTTCCTGATTGATTTTAAGATTTTATTGCTTTTTTTAAAGTCTTAAAAGGTCTGGCCCCATCTTATTTATGTGATCTTATTAACAGCTACACTCCAGTAAGAGCACTGTCTACCAACCAGTTCCTCTTAGATGTCTCCAGATCTAAACTGAAGTCCAGAGGTGATTGGGCTTTTGCAGTTGCTGCTCCAAAACTCTGGAACAGTTTACCTGATCATTTAAAGACTGCAGAGACTGTTGAGACTTTTAAATCTTTGCTCAAAACTCATTTTTCCTTGGCATTTGATCCATGCAGAGTATGAGAACCAGTTATACCTGATTTTTATTGTTGGAGTTCAACATTCTTGTTCTTCCTGAGTGGCACAAGATGTAGATGTTTTTTGTTATTATTAATTTCATTTTAATTTGAATAAATTACAAAGTATAAAGTAGCACAGTGGTGCAACTGGTAGAGCGGCTGCCTCTCAGCGAGCAGGTTATCCAGGGTCAAATCCCGGTCTGGGGTTCTTTCTGAGTGGAGTTTGCATGTTCTGTCTGTGCTGTGTGGGTTTTCTCCAGGTACTCTGGTTTCCTCCCACAGACCAAAAACATGCATGTTAGACTGATTGGTAACTCTAAATTGTCCCTAGGTGTGAGAGAGTGAATGGTTGTTTGTCTCATTTGTCTCTATGTGTCCCTGTGATGGACTTGCGACCCGTCCAGGGTGTACTCCGCCTCTCACACAGTGATGGCTGGACATGGGCACCAGTGACGCCCGCGACCCAAAAAGGAAGAAGCGGGTAAAAGATAATGGATGGCTAAATTGTAAAGCATTTTGGTCAGCTTTTGTTGTTTTTATGTGCTATATAAATAAATTGACATTGACATTCAACCTGCCATTGTGTATCTGTTCCTACCAAACCCGAAGCAGTCGAAGCAGATGGCCACTTATCCTGAGCCTGGCTCTGCTAAAGGTTTCTTCTTCATGAGGGAGTTTTTCCTTTCCACTGTTACCTTCTTGCTTGTTCCTCAGATAAATAGTGTTAACTTACTTGTATATACAGTATTGTGTAGATCATTTATGCTTAATTTTAGTTTTGAAGTGTGCCCCTCCTTTCAAGAGACAATATTCTGAGAGTCCTGACAGTTGTTTGGTTGATTCGCTGTCTATGTAGAAGACTTGTCAGTTGCTGACTGTCTGCCTGTGTCTGGAGGTATATAAATGGTGTTTCAGCAGTCCAATAGCACCTTCTCATAGTGGATCAACCAGTTTGCTGCTGACAACCAAAACCAGCTGCTCACATGATCAAGAAGAACCATCAGCCTAACAATGGATCATTAGCACACTGATGTGCTAGTAAGTGTGCTAACGATCCATTGTTAGGCTGATGGTCCTTCTTGATCATGTGATCAGCTGGTTTTGGTTGTCAGCAGCAAAACTGGTTGATCCATGCTGAGAAGGTGCTATTTACAAGACTGAGCTGAATACAGCACCTCAGACTGAGGAAGTCTTTCGGATGAAAGAAGAAACGTTTCTACATATTTTTTGTTTTGCTTTTTGAATGTCCAGAGGACTAGATTTAACTTTCTTAGATTTTTCTACCTGGATTATTGAGCATGCATCAGGATGTATTAGATCAAGAAACAATGACCTAATAAGGACCTTTTAAAACTGTGCACGCATGAAAACGGTAATTGATTTTATTTTTGGTTTGTACAAGGAAGGAAATGTGTTACCAGACAAAATAAATGAAAAGGGTGAATGCAGCTGCTTCTGACCTGGTCGATACCTCTGCCTCTACACTGCAGGACGATCACTTCCAACAGTTTTGCTGCGTGACACTTTGCATCGTCACCTGCATCTACAGTCAGCACCTGCAACAGGTTAGGGTCAAGAAGTTGTTGAACAACGTGGCTCAGCGGTGTACCAGATAATCAACTCAACGTACGTCTAGCCTGACCTTTTTGCACATGTTATAGATGACCTCTAAGTGCTTTGGAATGGACAGGAGCATGTCTGTATCCACGGTAACATAGTTGTGCAATAGTGGCATCATGTCTGTAACAAACACAATCAATTATTATTAGGATTTTATTTATCCTCCACTCATCCAAATAAATAGTTGATCATCTTTGTACACCAACAAACAAAATATAAAAGGTTAAGCAGAATCAGAGCGGACAGTCTTTTGTTGATAGCCTATGATCCACAAAGATGTAAGCTGTATAAATCATCTGTCCTATGTGGATTAGAAGCACATCTTTGGACTGTGTGTTCAGCTGAAAATGTGCAGCCTGCTGCTCAGTGCCTTTTGAACTTCTTTCATTTTTGTCACATTAAACACAAATGTCAAAATAATTTATTGGAATTTTATGTGACAGTGCAACACAAAGCTCCCTGAGTAGTGATGCACGATATTATCAGCATGGTATCGGTATCGGATGATACTAGCGTTAAAGTTCAATATTGGACATAGGTCATTCCACCAAAATAACTCACCGATTTAAAAGACGCTATATATAATATTGTACTTTATCACTGTATTATAGTATCTACAACTAATAGCTGTAGATATTTATAATACAGTGATAAAGTATAATATTATATACTAAAAAAAGAAGGTTTACAAATGCTTAGTGGTGGTGGATTCGAACCCCCAACTCTCGTATTGGAGGATGACTGCTTTAACCACTCAGCCACAGCCGCCTCACAATGCGGAATGCTCTTTGTGAATTACAGCTCGGCCTTTAATACAATCATTCCGGACATTCTTATAAACAAATTGGACAATCTTGGCCTCCCCCCCCTCACATGTGCCTGTATAAAAGATTTCTTAACCAATTGTCACGATTCATGCCTGTTAGGTTAGATTTTCTATCACCCTGTGCACTGCTTGGTGTCTTTGGATCCTTTTCTTCTCTTCTGGCTGCACGTGGGTTTAAGGTTGTCTTCACTGATCATACCGGTTTGTCTTCACTGCAGCACCTACAGCTCTGATTACCTTTCAATTAGGTTGTTTTCCCACCTGATAGTCTAGTAGACTCGGTTCGGTTGGGGACCAATATTCATAACATTTTGTTTACATTTGAGCTGGTGCGTTTGCATTCACACTGCACTGTGCAGTCGAGCCAACCTGTTAAAACTAACCTATTCCCCCACTCACCTGTGGGGGCGCTGCACCAAGAACTACTGAAAGAAATGACAGAAAAACCTCTGAAGACACTTATTCTGGAAATAAAAACAAAAATGGAGTGGCATCAAGTTTGATCAGTTTTAGGAGTTATATTTTGTCATTTTTCAAAAATGGACTCAGCATGAGCAGAAGATGAGGCAGAAGACCATGGAGAATATTGTTTTTCACACAAGGCAGCTGATGGTTCCATATGACGTAAGAGAAATGTGTGTTAGTTTGCCCTGCGCTGTACTCCACTTCTTGCTTTTGGAGCGGGGCCTGGTTTGATTACATTCACACTGTACTCGAACCGCACTGGAGTTCTCTTCTACCGGACTGAGACCTAGGTTTTAGCCCAGGCCAGAGTTCGCCTTTTTGTTCCGTGACAGAGTTCGATGGCGCGTTCACACCTCCCCAAACGAACCGGACTTCCTAGGAAAATGAGCTAGAGCTCAATTAAAGCGGACTAAACAGGGCTGGTGTGAATGCACCCTTAGCTGCACCTGTCTCTGCATGCTTTATAAGTCAGACTCTCACACAGGGTGCTTGCCAGATAGTTGAAAACAGTTTACTGCCAGTAGATATCCCGTGCTCTTGATCTCTTGATCCTGTATCTCAAGTCAAGTCAAGTCAAGTCAGATTTATTTATAGAGCACATTTAAAGCAGAAACTGTTACCAAAGGGCTAAACAAAAATATCACAACATCAAATAAAAAGTAACAAGATATATTTACAGCACATGGACTAAAAATAAAAAAACAGAAAACATAATTAGAAACAATGAAATACTAAATAAGATCACCTTGTGTCAAAAGTCAAGAAAATAATAACAAAAAGCATAAACTCCGTCAGAAACAATGAAATACTAAATCAGATCTGATGACCTTGTGTTAAGTGAGTTACAATAGTCTTGCCGGGTTTTAATAAATGCATGGACTAGTTTTTCAAGATTGGATCTGGTCAGAACGGACTTCAGCTTTGCTATCTGCCTTAGCTGAAAGAAGCTTTTTTGTAGAACAAAGTTAATCTGTTTATTAAACTTAAAGTCTGAGTCTAACACTACCCCGAGATTGGTAACAGACTGCTTTAGATGTGGCTGAAGGGAGTGCAGGTTTACAGGATCAGTGACAGTGGTAGAGCTTGGGTTAAACACAATGACCTCAGTCTTCTGATCATTAAAACTCAAGAAGTTCACAGCCATCCAAGTCTTGATGTCATCAAGACATTTTAGCAAAGGGTGGATGGAGCAGGAAGTGTTGGGTTTTAAAGGCAGATAAATCTGAGAATCTTTGGCGTAACAGTGAAACGAAATACCATGTTTCCTCAGGATGGACCCCAAGGGGAGCAGATACAATGAGAACAAAAGGGGTCCAAGAATGGAGCCTTGCGGGACCCCACAGGAAAGAGGGACAGAAGCAGAGAAATGATTGCCAAAGTTAACACAAAAGCTCCTGTCACTCAGATACGAATGGAACCATTCTAGCGCCACCCCTGTAATCCCAACCCAGTGTTCTAGCCGTGACATAAGGATGCTGTGATCAACAGTCAAATGCAGCTGTAAGGTCAAGGAGTACCAGGATCACAGACTGACCAGAGTCATTCACTAGCAGAATGTCATTACAGACCCTTACTAAAGCTGTGTCAGTGCTGTGCAGTTGTTTAAATCCTGACTGAAAAATCTCAAAAATTCTATTCCATTCAAAAACTTGGTTAGTTAACTAAAAACTATTTTCTCCAAGATTTTAGAAAGAAATGGAAGTTTTGAGTTTGGCCTGAAGTTTGAACAAGCTGCAGGGTCAAGTCCGGGTTATTTAATTAATGGAGTTACCACTGCATGTTTTAAAACATCAGGAACCACACCTGTAGCCAAACTGCTTTTAATAATGGCAAGAACAGAGGGTCCAGTTGACACAGAGAGTTTAGAGTCTGTAACAGAATTTCTAGCAAAGATGGAAGAGAAGAGTGTGGCGGTGGTAGGGTTAAAAATCCTACAGGGCTTGGGTGGGGTGGGGGTGGGGGGGGGGTGCAGGTGATCACAAATCAAAGAGGTGTTGAATAAACCCGGTTTGTGGTCAGAAAAATTAGTGTCACCGATTTCTAAATCAGAAACAGACAAACCATGCGTTAAAACTAAGTCAAGAGTGTGGCCCTGCTGGTGAGTTGGACCAACAACACTCTGAACAAAGTTAAAGGACTGGATGAGGTCTAGAAAGTCGTGAGTTAATGGTTTATCAGGGCAGCACACATGGATATTAAAATCTCCCAAAATCAAAACCCGATCATATTGGAGCAGAATACCAGTTAGAAAGTCAGAGAGTTCATTTAAAAACTGTTTATGGTAACCTGGGGGTCTGTAAAAAATAGCACACAGAACTGGGTTGGAGTGGCCCAGCTCACAACAGAGCAGTTCAAAACTCGAATAATTGGCTAAACCATTGAGCTGTCTGCAGAGCAATTGTTTCTTAAAACAGTCAATAATCCTACAACACGACCAGTTGTCCTTGGAGCATTGAAAAAAGAACAATCCGGAGGCAGTAATTCCAGAAAAACACTCAACTCACCAGGGCAGATCCAACTCAGTGATGAAAAGAATGTCCATTTGGTTGCAGCAGAAAAAGTCATTCAAAATAAAAGTTTTATTAGCCAATGATCTGGCATTTATCAGGGCCATCCTCGTATAATCCACCACAGGAGGAGATGATTGAAGTGTCCAGTCCAGCGGTCTCAGATTTGCAGAGTTCAACGTGCGCCTCCGGCAGGAAGCACAGCCGCGCACAGGCCCAGTGTGATGATGAGACCCCGACAGCAGGACCAGACAGCGCGCCACAGGATCTGTACAGCACGAGGATCGGAGGTGGAAACGTTGACCATCAGCTGGAGAGGATGATTCAGAGGCAGTAAACAGGGTTTTAAGCTTCACCAGTCGGCCAACGCGTTTTACACGGTTTCTGGAGCAATGTCTCCGGGGAGGCAGGTGCGTGGCTCGTTGCAGGTAAACAAGCATGCCCGCCAGCAGCGGGGGGGGACGGGGATGGGGGGTCCAGAGTTATGCTCATTTGATCAAAATTAGCGACGTTGGTGGCACAAAGTCGAAGATCCAAAAGTTGTTGTCGTTCATACACCAGCAGAGAGTTGATGTCGCAGATGAGAAATGAAAAAAAACCCACCAATAATATGAACACCATCAGCAGAGATGGATTGCAAGCCATGTACACAGGCGCCATCTTACCGGAAGTTGTATCTCATAGTTTCTCTTAGTATTTACCCAGTTTAGTCATATACCTGTTCTCCTTGCTCCTGTCCCGTTCCCTGGTTTGTATCCTTACCTCTTTGGTTCGCTTTCCTTGCTTCCTGACTCATTGCTCACCTGACTTTGCTTTTTGCTCACCCCCCTGGACTGATGCCTCTCTGAAAATGGTAACGAGCCCCGCCTGTATGACTACGTCCTGTCGTCTCACCTGTCGGTCTTGTCACCCATCTGCTTCCTGGTTTTGGACTCTCGCCTGCTGGACTGACCTCTGCGCCTCACGAATTGGTACCGTTGGTCATCCCCTCAGTCGTTTCCAACTTCCGGCCTGTCTCCAAACTCCCATTTGTTTCTAAAGTACTGGAGAAAATAGTCGAGTCCCAGTTGAAGTGCTTCCTGGAGGATCACGCCATCTTAGAGCTTTTCCAATCTGGCTTTAAACCTCTCCACAGCACTGAAACTGCCCTGCTGAAGGTCTTTAACGACATCTTCAGATTCACAGATACCGGTGATTCTGTGCTGCTTCTCCTGTTTGACCTCACAGCCGCCTTTGACACCATCGACCATGAGATCCTCATTGCTAGGTTGGAGCAGTGGGTGGGCGTCACAGGATCAGCCCTCAATTGGTTCAGATCTTAC